AACGCTTCATATCTCCTGTCGCTCTGCGATGGAATAATCTAATTCAAAGCGCAACTTTTCTTCGAATAGAAAGCATTACGAGCATCCCCTATTCATCGATAACATCATTAAGCCAACGAATGAGGCGGAAAATTAAGCACACGAACGAAATTTCAGTGCATGATGATGCAATTTAGGAGACTTTCTTCAAAGAAAACTTCAAAATTTACACATTGTCATTATCAGCAGTAAAAGGTCACAGCACTTCGTAGTTCATTTAAAAATGTCAATGTCAAAAAATGTCCAACCATCTTTGACACGTAGATCAATATGAAAGGCTCATAAGATCGTCATCCCTGCTGTAGTTAATTGATTTTAATTATTGCTTCACTTCAGTTCTTTAGGGCATCGTAAGTGAACCTTTAAGGGAGAAATCTCTAAGAAATTGGTAAACTTCTGAAAACTGCTTCTAAATTTCTTAAATATCTCCAATCCTTATCGCATTAGACGATAGCATGACCAGACAAACGTATATGTGTATCCTTCTCATATGTTGAAATATGTGAAATTCTCAATTTTCAGAAGTCAATCGGCTTATACAATCACATCCTCAACAGCAACGGGCGATTGGAATCGCAAGCGAGCCGAAGAAATGCCCTATCCAAACGAGTGGCCAAATGCGATTGTGCCTCAGATGGGCACGTTCAAACCGAAAATTCCGTTGTTGTCCCCACATACGAAAGAGAATATTCGACGAGACAGCAGCCACAACACCAATAAAACCAACAATAACGTTCGGCTGAATGGACTCAATTTACATTCCAACGGTTCATTTCTCTCGTTTAAATTGTCATTTTTGGAAATTTAAAGATGAAAAGACGACTCGGTAGCCACCTGTCAGCTTTAACAAATTCAACAACAGCTTATCAGAATGACAATTTATCCCCGTCTTGTTTAGAAAATGCACAATTTGTGGTTTCAATTAGAATCTCTGAAAATATACTGAGTGAGAGCCCAAATAAGCTCTAGTTGCTTTGCCACCCGTAAGCAAATAAACGCACAATAAGTCGATAAGCTGAATCTGAGGACTGTCATCTACCAATATCGGATTTATCATTATTTCATTGATTCCTTATCACTGCCAGTGTATTCTGAATTGCAATTAGAGCAATTGATAGCTGATAATTGCTGACAATATTTGTATAATTTCAGTACGTAACATTTCCAAACCCGCTATCAAACCGAAGCCACTCGCGCTAAGGCGTGAACGCAGCGACTTGACCGGTTCAACGTCAGCACGTCGTCTTGCCTATCACGCTGAAAATCATAGCCCTGGCCCGCTGTGTTCATCACCGAGACGTGCTCTGCTACCACCATCTGATAGCTTGGATGGAAATGCTTTAATAGGATGTTTGGAGGAATTGAAACGTAAAAGGTACACACACAGCAAATCGCACACTTTCAGTTATTTCCACCCTTCATAATTCCACACAATGGAACATCCGTTATGCCTTTGAAGGCAACTCGTACAATTCTTCAAAGTCATCTATTGTATGACTTTGATAGCCACAGCTTAGATAACAGAGTTAATCGCATTAAAAAGACGATCTCAAAGCAAGAAAATCCGCGAAAAGTATCTCAAAGAAAGGATAGTCCTGGACGAAAGGATATCTTTTATCCAAGGAATCTCCCAAATGATGAGCGAGCAATCCTCCATCGAGAATCGGTTATCTTGACAATCGATTTGATCAAAATTAAAGTCGGTTCGATCTCAAAAGCTTTTGCTCGCTGAATTGATCTCTCCATTTTCATAAATTAAACAAAACGATACGTAATTGCCTAGAGCATGAACAAATCCGCAAGATAAAAAGAACATCTCGCCTTCTTAAATCCTTTTTCGATTATT